TCTCGTCATTTGTCAAGGAGAGAATCCTTCTTGTTACTTGTAACACTACCTGTATCTCGAACTAGCTGCTTAATAGCTACTTTGCCTAACTAGCTAGTATCTAGATTGTATTTTTGACTAATAAGTCTTAGGTTATGCTCTAGAAATTAAAATATTATAGTCTATAATCAACGAAGGTAGATTTTAAAGTATAAGGCACTAGTATACCGTATCTGGGATCTAGAAGAACCTATATTGAATTGGGATTGTAAGTCTTAGGAAACAGAAATGACGTAGTTGACTCCTTTTAGGTCTCGATTCTCTTGAGGCTACATAGCTGGTCGATAATTGTCCTGGCATCACTCTTGATGCCGTTTCTGTATGTGATTATTCTTAGGAGAATTGTGCAAGTGCTAGATGCTATGCTCATCGAGATCTGCAACCCATCGCGTCTCTTTGTCGAAATTGTTTCGTTCCTCGCCCTTCAAGTCGCCTAGCCCGACTTCTCGCAAATCTTTGAGTATCTTGACAGCCTTACCGGAACTCTCCTTCGGCGTGTAGCCCTCATCGGTCAAGAAACCTTGTAACTCTTTCCAAAATTCCTGACTCTTGTTGAAAGACCCTGCTTCTTCGTTGTGTTGCTGTATCTCCTCTGCTGAAAAATGGTACGGACATGTTTCGTTAGTACCAAAGTGATCCCATTCACTGCAACAATAGTCAGTTAAGGAACTCAAAGGCAAACAGATCAACACACCTCTCAACCCGAATCAAACATCCTTCAAAAGGAAAGAGACAGTTGTCCCAGGTAGAGCCAACAAAAGCTTCTAATTGCTTGAGGGTCTGACCATGGGGATGTCGCATGACCTTGTACATCAGAGGGATCTTTTCCGCCGTAGATGTTTCATACGTGTAAACTAAGACTGACTGAGATACTTGGTATCTGAGCTTCTCTTTTGTAGCATTGTCGAGTGCTTTGAAGTTTTCAGGAAGTTTCATCAACATATCAATCCCATAGTCTAGAAGCAACGGAGGATTGGCTCCGATAAACACCGGGGCCGTCCATGCTCCCTGCCAGTCAATGATGCATGATATCCGGGCTTCCTCGTCGACATAAATGTTACCAGCATGGAAGTCTGGGTGCCAAAGTCTGGGAGAGGCGAGCTCTGGGTCCTTGGGAGTGATATACGGAATTGCAGCTAGAAATTTTTCCAAAAAGGCTTTGTGAGCCTCTGGAGACTTCTGATGTGGACTCGTGTACTGCCATGGAGTTTTGTTCGGCTCCTGTGGGTCCGCATGGGCATTGATCCATTCGATCTCACGGCGAGCGACAGACTTTAGGTATTCCTTAGAAGATGTCCCTATAATTGTTATAAGTCTATATTCGAAGTTCAGAGACATCTAGAAACTTACAGGGGCCATGATATGGCATTTCACTGCGTTGTTTCTCCCAGAACTCTCTTCGAGTGATGGGTCCAATGCAATAAGTTGATTTGACGTGACTGATGACATCTTGCGGACCACTAGTAACAACAGCCGGCTCGCATCCTGCGATACTAGTATCTTTAAAATACAATAATCCTAATCTAATATTATGTAAGTTGAACCGGCCGCAAATTCTCTGTTGGAGTAAGCTAAATCTTACTTTTCAAAGGAGACTGAGAGTAGTTTCCTTTTAACGTCTATAAACTTACGAACAATATTATATTTCCTCCGTAATGAAAGAACCTGCTAAATTTCGTGGAGTTAGGAGCCCCTCGCTTCTTCTATAATAATATATTCTGCTTAGACAGGATTTTAGTCGGTAGCACTCTAAGCGAGAACTCGTGGGACGGGTATGTTTAAAACGGTCTGGGCAAACTCTATAGTTACTACTTCCGAGGCCGTGGTAAGTATTCGTGGGCTAGCGTTAGAGTGTGGGACTTTTATGATGATCTTCCGGCCGTCTTCTATCTTAAGGCGATATGCCTTGTTGTAGTTGCCTTTGCCGATCTTCTTAAAAGATATATATTTGTTTGCACTAACGGCTTGGCAAGCCGCTTGCTGAAGACTAGATACGTTAAAACGTTGGTATCGCGCTTCTAATTGCTTACGCTTGTTCTATAGCTATCGTCTACTCGTGTAGCAGAATAAGGGATTTATGTCGATTTGAGGATATAAGGGTATTGCGCGGCTACTCTCTAAAGTATGTAGTAATTGATAGTAGTGCTGTTTTGCAATATTTGACACACTTCGACCAAGCGCCATGGCTAGAAACCGGCAAGGAAGCTGTGGTGCAAATAAGAAGACTAAGCTGATGAGGCGTTGAAACGCGCCACCAAGCCTGCAGCCTCTGTGGACTTTCTTATTGGATCACTAGCGCACTCTGACAAATCAGATTTATAAGTACATAGTTAACAGTTAGTTCTTCTAGATAAGCGGGGAAGTGAGAACAGCACTATATAGAAGAAGGCTAACGAGCTTGAGATTAAATACTATAGCTAAGCCTTAGGTATCCCTAAATTGCTCTGATAGCAAACAAAGCTGGGCATAAGCGTCTTAGAGGCCAATACTTCGTAGCGCAAGTAGACATAATTTCTCATGAAAATAATGTTTAAACACACTCTTTTCTCATGGATTAGAGATTACCGGAAAAAGAAAAAAGAAAAAAGAAACAAGCTTTTTAGTAGGAAATCTAACGGGCGACCTCTATTAGGTAAAACAGCAACTAAAAAAACAGAGAAAAAATAAGGGCAAAAAAATAAAAAAAGAACTCTCCAGCGGGGAATTGAACCCCGGTCTCCCGCGGATTGTCAATTGCTTGACAAGCGGAAATACTGACCACTATACTACTGAAGAAGAGGATCTGAAACATTGCTGGATGTTCTGATTGATGGAAAAGTGTATCACTTATTGTAATATATTGACGCATTAAGATTGCTGACAGTGAGATTGGGGCGCGGTATTCCACCTAGGCCATCTCAGTAGGGCAGATAAGCGAAGCCGCGCTAGCTGAGCGCCAAGCATGATTCGTAGTTCAACATCACGAACAACTCCACCGTTCTTTCATAATGCGTACGGAACTGTGAAAAGGAACCAGGGAGATTTTGATTCGCTCTCTATAGTATTACTATTATCAAGTGTTGTTTCTATGAGCGGCATGGCCCTGTCCGAGACCCAATTCGATTCTCATATTATTCATGTTCGGCGCTCAAGCAGCAGTCAGAGTGCCTTGCCTGGAACCAACTTGTTGGCAAGACATCGGAATAGGACCATTGCAGCCAACATCGGTCATACCGGTCAAAGTAACGCTAATCGCAGTCAGTATTAGAATGCTAGAAGAAGAAACTGGCGTACCTGTCTGAGACTTTGTGGGTGACAGTGATGGCGTAGATGTCGTAACCCGGGCGACTGGTGATCTGGAAAGAATATGTAGGGTCGGCACATGTGTAAAGGTTGGATGGGACTGATGGATCTGGGAAGCTGTCTGCATTGCAGCTGACAGAACCGGATGGAGTGGTCAGGGTGAGGCCAACGTGAGTGATGGCATCCCAGTTGTCGTTGCCATTGCTGTCTTTACGGACGAACACAGCATTGTTGATGGTGATTTGCTCTTCAGATGCACCGCTTTCCACTGGGGCACCTGCAGCTACGGCGACAATGCCAAAGGCAAGACCAGCGAAGACTTGGGAACGCATTTTGGCTTTAATAAAGAGTGGGTTGGACGTATAGAAGGACTAAAGGGTTTTGAACGAGTGTTGGAATGATACCGACAAAGCAAGCTATGAACATGAAGTGTGACCACGTACTCAACAGCAATGCTTTGATTCTTATACCTCTCTTCCAGTACCCTTAAATTGATAATGGCCCGACGCCTGTTCTGGCCACCCTCAAAGCGAGCGCTCAAAATACGAAGGACCTTGTTTTAAATGAGGCATTAATGGCCCGTGCATCCACTCTACAAAGCTCGCTGCCCGCACATGCAGACAGCAAAACAACCACATAGAATACTGATAGGATCCACTAGAAGAGTTTGAGCTGTTTAAATCATCACACTTCAGCCTCCTGGTCGATTTTCTAACTGAGAGCGATGATCTTGAGATAGAAATGTAGTGTTTCGGTCAAATTTTGGCGCACGGACTGCGAGATTTCCTCATTAAAACCAAAACAAGATCCTTCGTACAAGATCAAGACGAGCACCGTTAAACTTTGCCTGTGATAGATGACAGAAATGGGTACCGTGGCAGACAAGAGGCGGCTTCGTTTTCGAAGTTTATGACGCGTACCTCAGAAGTTGACTTCTAAGTTGGGACCTGCTATGGAAACGGGTTGAATGCCAGTTGCTTGACAAAGGGGTATTGAGGCTGTACACAGTCGGAAAACGTGGCGGTGTAATGTGAAAAAGCACAGGTGGCCGCGCGTTCTCCTGAACTAGTGAACGGCGGATTATTGTCAGCGTTTCACACCCCCGCTTCCAATCGGAGTTGCTGGCGGTAAAGCCTCACACGTGATCTGATGCAGAAAGGCCCACGTGAAACGTCACGTGACATCACCCACCCTTTCGTATTCGGGTTACCATCTAACAGGCTATCAAGCCAAGCTAGTACTACGCAGTAGTATCAGCAACGACGATGGGGAAACTGGATGGCGTGAATTTGGCCGAGAGTGACTGGTTGGCTCAACCTGAACCTCTGAAGCGGAAACATTTCGTTATCAATATGGATAAGAGGTCTCAAAGGTTCGTTACAGCCCTTCATGATCTAATGTATATTCAGAGCGCTAACCATACCTCTGGACTGGCAGCTTCAGGATGCAGAGTCACTGAGATCTTGCATCCATCTTCACACAAAATTGTGTGATTTTTGAGAACTTTCAGACACAAAGTTGTGAAATGACAGAGTTATGCTGAATTGCATTTTCAATGCCTCGAGGTAATGCAGGCTATCTTGCCTTACGAGCTTGCTTAGTTGCGGTTATGCGTGTTAAAATAAGTCGGTGGGCATGCTTCTCAATGCCGTTGTTCAACCGAAGAGGTAGCACGTAGGCGAATAGTGGTTCATTATCGAGATATATTTATCAAAGTTGCAAGCCGGCTTTCAGGCTGTTAGTTTATAGCAAGCTCTTGTTCGAGGATCCCTCTGACTTATCCCTTTTCAAATCTTCAAGATCTTTCAAAACACTCCTGCGCTTACCATCGTAGCCAACCTTTTCCATCCACTCTTTAAGGCTGCGAATCCGTGTAGGATGAATTCGATCCAAAAGTTCCATGTCCCTAGTTGCCCCAATGCCTTCGCTCCAGTACTGCCACCAAGCTGCAAAGTTCTGCCTCCACGTCATCGATGATTCGTCACGGACTACGTCTAGTCCCGCAGCCCAATTAGCCCAAGCATTGGGATATGGCTCAGCAGCAGGGAGATAATCCTCGAGTGGAACGTAAACATGTGCGGCTTTCTTTCCCGTGACTTGTGTAAATGTCTCAACGATCTGGGCGAAGCTGATTTGCTCCGTCGCAACTTCCAAATCCAATCCCGCAGACTCTGAAGGATTGTCAAATATCCACAGACTGTAGAAACCCACGTCAGCGAGGGCGATTAGTGGAATTTTACCATTCTCTGTGAATAAAAGTCAGTCATACTCTCATTAAGAGATATGAGGAGCAATGAAGCAAGACTCACGAGCTGGATTCGCCCAAACAAACGAGCCATCGGCTTGTTCCTTTGGAACGAACATCCCATCAAACAGCATATCCATGTACGGTCCCGTAGTCAACAAAGACGTTTTCATAGTCTCTTGTCCATGGCTAAGAATTAGGTCGCCAACCCGACCTTTTGCATCGTTGTGGCCCCAATGATACTTCTCGTCCCAGCCAGCTTTCTTGACTGCATAGTCCGTGTTTGCCCAGACAAAATGTTTCACGCCGTGATGCCTCGCGATCTCGTATGCCCTAATACCATAGAACAGCTCGCTCTTTTCTCCAAGAGTAAAACCATCTGTGTTCACCCAAGCGCCATATACGCCAGTGAAGGCTTGATGAAGGTCTTTTTGCTGATCCTGACTTCCTTCCATAAGAGTGACATTCGGCAAAGCGGCGAGCTCCCTAGCTCGCGTGGATTCGGCACTTCGAGTTAGAACTCTGACACTATATCGATTGCTATTTGAAAGCGCTGATCGTAACGTCAGTGCATATACCAACACTTGTGAACAAAGACTGACCTTTAACGACGGGCACCCCCTGCGCGCCTGTTCCACCAATCACCAGAATAAGTTTAGAGTTCGCCATTGGATTGCACGTTGGTTTTTAGTGTGTATCGCCCTCGAGTTACTCAAGTTGTCCTTTTTCATACTCAGATGATACTAGAGTCAAATATATTCCAAGTTGACCGGGTATTATATGCAGAACCCCAGCCAATCCGTGAATTCGTCCGGATCAGCTTCTTCTCTAATGGAAACAAGCAGAGACTTCGCTCGATGTGATTTCAAATGCTACACATTACGCAGCATCCAAGATCAGAGCCGAGAGGATTATTGATCCATCCTTCGACTCTGGGTGTTCTGGCGGGGAATATGGAGGGGAAGCGCCAATTATTCAAGGGGAGGAGATTAGTGGCCTATCACAAAAGCAATGGGAGAAAGGCCGACTACCGCGGTTCTCCGAGCTGATGGTCGGCGCAAAGATCAGTAATCCTAATTGATCAAACCGAGCTGACAAACTCACACTGCTTTCGCACCACTACTCAAATTATCCTCGCTGCTGATTGGTTCAATTTACTGATTGCGAAACGGACGAAGCGATCCTCCATTCAGTTATTCGAAAGAGAAACTTTCTGTTACGCGTCTTCGCATGCTTACCAAGACGTACTGATGAGACTATTTATCATCACAACCATCTCGTACGTCGAGAGTTGATGGCTATAAATAATGGTCTTTGGATGGAGCCCTACGGATAGACAGTATATCAGATAAAGTAACTTCTACCAATAACTTCTACCCATCCTCACAATGTCAAATCCTCTCGTGTTCATCACTGGCGGAACTGGTTTCATTGGCGCACATACTGTTCGAGCCCTACTTGAAGCTGGACATCATGTACGTCTGAGTATACGCAGGCCAGAGCAAGATGCGATTGTCAAGAAGCGGTATCCGAACTTCGCATGAGCTATTGAGACTATATTGATGAAGGATTTTTCGATCCGGAGTCTTTCAAGCATGCTCTAGCAGAAGCTGACCATGTCATCCATCTCGCAACACCTATGCCCGATCGTTCCGGTACAGACTTCCGCAAGGACTTTGCCGAACCAGCAGTCAACGCAACTCTCGCAATCCTCAAAGCTGCGTTGGATTTTCCGCAGATCAAAAAGGTGATCGTCATGTCCTCAAGTGTCGCACTGCTTCCTGTATCTGTCTTAGCGAGGCCTGACTTGGAGTATGAGGTGAAGGGTGAGTTTTCGCTCCACCTACTGGGACACTCGCTAATACGAGTAGATAATACTGGCGAGGTCATACCTCTCGACCTTGATGATGAGTTCCCTCCAGGCCTCATGGGACAAGTCGTCAAACACTCTGCATCTAAGATCGTCGCTCATCAAGCAACGCGTAATTTTGTCAAGGAAAGGAAGCCTAATTACACACTCATCACCCTTCATCCGTCCTACGTCATGGGCCGTGACATCACCCAGGAAACAGCAGAAGGCTTGGGTAGGATTAATGCTCTCCTATGGCAGTCACTTGCCTCAGAGAAGCCGCTCATTGGCACATCTTGGGTGCATGTCCAGGACGTTGCAGATGCGCACGTCAAGGCCTTACATGTGAATGTCGAACATGAGAAGGAGTTCCTCCTTTCAGACCCATCCTTTCCATGGGAAAACGCGATAGAGTACATCCGAAAGAAGTTCCCTGGCTTGGAGGTTAAACTAGTGCCTCCATTTGAAGGAAAATGGAAAGTCGACGTAACTGGTGCCGAAACTGTATGTCATTCCTAGAAGTAAATGAAAGACCTAACTAATTGCCTGGTATTCAGGTCCTAGGTCTTAAATGGAGACCCAAAGAATTGATTCTTTATGAGGTTATCAGGCAGCAGCCTGTCCTTGGGAATAAGTTGACGTAAGGTTGGAGTTAGTGGGTCACGATAGAATGTAATGCACTTTTTCATCTCTATGGGCTTGGTGCGGCCAAAGAGGAAATAATTATCAAGCACATGCTAGACTCTGATTCGCGAAAATGACAGTAGATACGGCTGTTCAATCGCTGAGCGTTGGTGGTGGCCAGTTGGATAGTAGATACTAGGCTGGAAAATTGGTAACGCACTTAAATGAGCTTCAAGTAGCCTTCAATCGATACGGAACCGCAACACCAAAAATTAGCGTTCCATTTTTAGGATATCACCTAGTATCGGTCACAGCTATGCGCAATGACAAAGCTTGCAGCAAAGAATGAGGATTTGGTGACTCGTGATGTAGCGAGTCGTTGCTGCTATAGTAGCCGAGCCAGGGAGTAAGTAATTAATGGATTCACTTTGAGCCTCTAGCATCATGCAATCAACCATTATAACTGCTACAATTTCTAGTGCTTAGTAGCGATGATAGAATGTAACAATGTTGAAATCTTAGCCACTTGAGCTTGTCATCAGATAGCATTATACTAGGCAAATAGTCTAGATAGTAGCTATTACCGTATTTAGGAAACATTACACAAAATGGCAGCTCCATGTCCTTCCTGAATCTGTTGTTACGACAATACATCCACCTGAAATAGCAAAGTGACCTGGTTGGTATTCTGCTGGAAGCCAGAGCCATTCTTTATCATGACGGGTTATCGAAGTGCGATCCGCAGAGATGTTGATACTGCAATGGGTGATTGGCTGACCTTTGACTGATCCTTTAGAGTGTGGCAAAGTGAAGACATTGGTAAGAGGACCAAAGTTGCAGGTCCTCAAGCTCTGCAGACGCGTACCGCTGCTTATGTCCCAGATATTGGTAATCTCTTCGACTGACACTGACTTTAACTGCGTTAAGCCATCAGAGAAGACTAACTCAGAAATATCAAAATCACGGTGTTTTAGTGTCTGTAGACACGTCCCGGTACTAATATCCCAAATTTTGACAGTCTCGTCTTTTGACGCTGACGCCAGCCGTGTTGTGTCATGTGAAAGAGTTAGTCGTCCAATAGAGCCACGATGGCCCTCAAGTATTTTGAGGTGCGCGCCACTTTTCATATCCTCAATCTCGATAGTCCCGTCACTCAATCCACTAGCTATCCACGTTAAGCCACAACAAAAGGTTGTTGGGCAATCAGTGTAGTACCTGGCGAAAAAAACAGTAAGCGGATAGATCTGAGCATGTACAATGCGTAGTATCCAGTATCTGTTGCACCGAGTCCTGCAGGAACGTCAAAGAGCTCACGTCATCCTTGTGTTCCTCATGTGTCTGCAGGAGTGCGCTACTGCTAGCATCCCAAATCTTAACAGTCCCGTCGTATGACGCCGACGCTAACTGCACAGAGTCGTATGAAAAGGCTATCAATCTGATTTTCCCATGGTTCTCAAGTGTATGTAGATACGCAAAGCTACTGGTATCCCAGATCCCTACAGTATTATCATGTAACACGTCTGCCAGCCGGGTCAAGTCGTGCGAGAAAGTCATGGAAGGGCTGAGGGTACGAAATGTGTACAGACCCTCGCCGCTTCCAACATCCCAGATCTTAGCTTTCTGGCCACCCGATACTGACGCGAGCCGCATTGAGTCAAGCGAGAAGGCTACAAATTCAACATTCTCAAGCGTTTGCAGACACGCACTCCAGTCATCATCTACCCGAGGCGGACTTTTTATCCATTGTTTCAGCTGATCTGAAAACTTCTCTTCACTATACTGTTCGCCGGTGCTAACAAAAGAGCGCTGCTATACACCTGCAATAGAGCTAGCTTGATGGGCAACGGGCTGTACAGTATAAGCCGCTTTATGTCGTGGATAAATGCGTAAAGATTAGGGCAGTCGCCAATCTTTATGCTTTTATTAATAGAGTCAGCATATTATAGAAGGTACTTACTAGGGCTATTAACTCAAGGGAACTAATAGCGTAGAATTGTTGACGGCATCAGAGCATTTGACCATGTTATTATTGCACTCGGTAAGCCCTTGTGGATTTTGTCGACGAGTAACTACGGGCGCATCGATTCCAGGTGGAAGGTCATTGTCAGCTTCTCGGATCTGCCGCAGCCACGTATGGAAACAGTGAGAGTTACAAGCCTGCCGTACATGCGTAACTTGCTGTGACTGTGTGAGCCCTATATCTCGGACGCTCTATACGAGATATAGACATACAATTCCTTGACATGCAGCCGCACAGGCTATAAGGACGCCATTACATGCGAGGACTGCGACCAGGTCGTTTCCTCGTTTCGTCAGATCGTTGTTCATATTGCTGGGGACTGTGAGAGCCGCAGAGAGGGCAAGCAGGGGAGTTGCGACTACAACGCGCATGATGCAAAATCTGACTTTGTGAGGAGTCTTGAACGGCTTGCTTCAGAGGTTTAGGACCTTGGGTGCAGTGGTTGAGAATAGCAAGAAGGAGGAATGGAGGATTAGCAGTTGCAGTCAGATACTTTCCTCAAGCCAGTACTGACTTCTTAAGTACATTCTGTTATCATTATCTATATGTTGATATTGGCCCATAATTGTCAGCACAAAGAAGGTTTTTTTGCGAAAGCTTCCCATGGGGCGGGATACCCTTAGAGCTATACTTGAGGTTTAGTGCGAAAACTTCGCATAGAACATCGGTCGTGCCGTAAAATCTCGAAAACTTAAGGACATTTTCCAAGAAAGTGATTGGCTGTCAGACTCTGCCGTGCCGTGACTAGATGTCATACCATAAGCAGGCTTAAATCCTCTCCGATATCCTGGCCCTCGTATTCTCTAGACCTTGCGAGATTCTTAAGATTTCTGTATTATTTAATCACACCGCATCGTATTTTCCATTATGTCTCCGTCTTACAGACCATTTGCACATCTGGCAGCTTGATATCGTTCCGAACGAAGAATGGCGCTGCATTCACTCAGATGCCTCCAAGCAGTACTCCTGGCTCACTTTGCAGTTTCAGTGGTTATTCGTGCGGAGCAAGACTCCAAATATTTTGCTCTCAACTACACACCAGGTGCTGCTTGTGATCTCCCAGTTCCGCCTCCCACGCCTAAAGATCCAACCCAGAAGCAATATGGCAAAGGCACGTTCACACAACCTCTACATCACAAAGCACCTGAGCTAAGCACTTTCACAGTCAACTACTATTGGAATAATACCTTTTGGGCTGGCCCGGGCTCCCCCATAGTTGTCTTCTTACCAGGCGAGGTCAAAGCCGACCAACACTTGGTGTTTTCAAGACCAGATTTCTCTCTCGTCGGAGTAATCGCCGAAAACCTGCGGGCCGCTGTAATCGTTCCGGAACATCGCTATTATGGAGGCAGCTCGCCATTTTCTGAACTCACAACTAGTAACTTAAGCTACCTGACAGTCGAAAACGCTCTACTGGACATTGTCAATCTTGCGAATCATTTCAACCCACCCTGGACTAACGCTTCGAGCACCGCACAAGACGTACCTTGGATTCTTACTGGTGGCAGTTACTCCGGTGCACAAACAGCGTAGATCGCTAATGCTTTTGGAGGAGTCTTCTGGGCTTATGTTGCCTGCTCCCCAATCGTACAGAGTATCACCTCATATTGGCAATATTACCTACCGCAAGTAGAACATGGCCGACAGACCTGTACATTTCTGATGGACAGAATTATAAATTACGTTGACTCAGTCTTCCAAGCCAATGGTACCCAAGTCAAGATAATCAAGAGCATATTTGGTCTTCCGACTATGGACGATGAGAGCTTCCTATATGAGATTACTGCGCCTGTCACCTTTTGGTCTCGACAGGATGTAGGAAGTCCTGCTACGCAGTACAACTGGCTCTGTGGCCTGATAGAAGGTATCGAAAACGACAACCATCTTCTGCCGCCAGAACTCATGGCACTTCTGGCATCGGGAGGTGCAGAAAAGCGCGGCGAATGGAACTCTCCGCATATACAAATGTTGAGGGGTCTTTATAATTATGCCGAGGGGTTCCGTTGGGAGATAACACCTGTTCTCTGCTTCAAAGGCGGATTCTGTTCCAGTGAACTAGATCCCAAGAATTTCATGTATTCGGACCTTCGCGTCGGCAACTACGCCAACCGACAATACGCCTGGCTACAGTGCAACGACCTGATTAGCAGTTACATAGTCGGCGCGCCCCTGAACGAAACTTCGTTAGTAAGTCGCCTTACAACAACAGAGTTCTTTCTCAAACAATGCGCTTTGTTCTTCCCTGATGGTCCGAACGGAGAAACATTTGGTGCGAAGAAGGGTCGGACAGCACACGTCCTCAACCATTACACAGGTGGCTGGCAGCCTACAAATGCAACACGTATCATTTATAGCAGCGGCAGCCAGGATGTATGGCGCGAGATGGGTGTTGCAGCTCAGCGGCGACCCGGCGGACCAATGCGAAGTACACCAGAGCAGGATATAGTCGTCCATGTTATCGAGACTGGGTTTCACCACAGCGAGCTAATGACGCGCACTGCGGAGATGCATCCAGACGTGCGTAGAGTCCGAGACCTTGAGGTTGAACAGATATGTAGTTGGGTACAACAATGGCCAGGCTACCGTTGAATGTAGATGGTCCGAGAGCCAGGTTGATGGCAGAAGTAGAACATATATCACAACTGATGATTCTTTGGGCTTGTTGTTAAGATTGTCGTAATATCATGTGGCCTCTGACCTCCGAGCTCCTGACTTATGCCAGCTGTACGCGACTATCGCTTTATCGTTCATAGACAACAGCAACCACTCCAAGGCTCTGTATACTATTCTAGCCAAAGTCTTTGTAAAGGTTAAATGACCAGTATGGTTATACCAAGGTCACTTCAATCCACAGCAGCTATCGATTCCGTACGAGAAAAGATTTACCAGTCACACTAGTAGACATACCAAGACAACGATGTGCTACGTTCGTTTTCTTAGGCGTGACAACAGATCTAGCTGCGGTATTTTGAATAAGACAGACTTAAGAGACTTAGCTACTTGACCTATTTCTGAAGATGGGGAATGATCTCTCCGACTGATATCTAGATTTTTGAGGGCTGGTGAGTGAACCGATAAATTTACCTAGTTGTGGGAAACCTATGTGAGTTATATCTTTGCATTTCTATGTAATTTTGAACTACTATTGGAGTTACTGCTTCTCCTGCTTCTCCACCATCACATCTAGGTCATTATATTCGGCAGATAACAGCGTAGTCGATCTGTCATTGTTAATATGAGGTTCGACCTTGCGTATATCTTGTTATCAATAGTTGCTGTATTGGCTGATACGGGTTGTCTAAAGTTGCTGGATACAGCACTTTGACCCCTAAAATAGTACAGCTGCAGATTAAGCAGAAACTAAGAAAGCCTGTTTCACGTTTTAATCTGAAACTTTACTTCTTGAAAATACAACTATCTAATAGAAATTATTCTTCATATTCAAATAGGCTCTAGTATTTACGAGAAACTTAACGATTATTCGAGATAGAAGGATCTGGATTATTCACTGGCCGGATTCCTTGGCCTTGTAGTAAAAGTATTTTGGTGTCCGGAAGAAAACCCACTGCGCCACCTCTGCCCTCCGCCTACATCTTGTAGCAGCTTAACCACCGCCTCGTGTCCGTTGTATGCTGCCCGCAAAATCGGTGTACATTCGTTCTTGTCCTTGGCATCAGCATCAACCTTGCCTGTGTCTAGAAGCTGCTTAACCACCCCATCATGTCCATGTTGTGCTGCTAACAGCAGCAGCGTGGATCCGTTTTCATCCTTAGTATCAGGGTCGACCTTCCCTGTACCTAGAAGTTGCTTGACTGTCTCTTCATCTCCATGTCGTACCGCCCACGACAGTGCTGTTCTTCCAAATTCGTCTTGTATGTTGGGATCTACAAACTTCCGTTGTAGAATCATCTCAATATAATGAGTCCGTTTTTTTTTGGAAAACTCCATGAAGAATTCCTCTAAGAGCTTCTTGGGTGTTGAGAATCTTCCTTCTCGAAGCAGAAGTTCTATGATTCCTAATTCCATACCCTGAAATACTAGTGTCAGAATACGGGTATATCTTAGGTGGTGGACAGAATCCGGGTGTTCTCGAGTACCCGGATTCTGTGATCTCA